CTTTCATAAAAAAAGTTGCAACCTGGTCCGCCTAAAATGAAAGAATTTCCAAAATCACATCAATGTGAACGCTTTATTCACTGTTTAGGGGCTGAAATCAAGCGTCATCCTACGTTTCAGTTTGATAGAAATAAAAAAAACCTATTTAGTTAGTTTTTGAGAAAATAAATTGTTTTTATAAAAATTTAAAAAAGCGAATATTTGATTGATTTCATTGCTGTATTTTGATGTTTCTATGCGTGCGCAGGTTGCCACCCAGAAGGACGCCGTGATCTCTGAACTGGAGCAGAAGGTGGCTGAGAAGGAGGTGGAGGTGGAGCGACTGAACAGGGAGGCTGTGGAGAGGGAGAGGGAGGCAGAGACTGTCAAGCAGAGATTCCTCACAGAGATCAACGCCATCTCAGACTCCGTCGAGAACGAACTGCAGGTGGAAAAAAATCGAACATCTGGGCTTACCGGGTTGACACAAATTATTGTAATATTATTTCTGTGATGCTAACAAGTTTTGTCCTACGTAGGGAATCGACACACTGATCACCTTTTTACACTATTGTACGTCATACGTTTTTGACCGACCAACCCTTCAATTTTTCTAAAGAAGCTTTCGGCCCCAAACACCAAAAACAGGAATTCTGAAGAAGGAGCGGGGGTTGATAAAACTTAAATTTATGGTCAAATCTTTCTTTTCTTTACTGGCCTGTTTTTGTTCAAAGTTTAACTTGTGGCATAGAAAATTTGATGAAATAGGGTCTTTAAATAATAAATATTTATAGTTCCTGCGAATCGCCGAGTTCTATCAGTAGTTTTTAACAGTCCTGCCGAGGATGGTCCATTTGTATTATCTCTGTGGTAAAAGATAGAAAGCTGTAATACTGATGTGAAAACAATTCACCCGCATCCAAGCTTAGGCGTAATTAATCGATTAAAACGGATTTTTATGATGATTTTTGACAATTATAATTGATTATAAGTACCAAAATAAGGTGTGTGTATAGAGGATTTGTAATTGATTATAATCGTGATATTTTCCGAGATGTTATAATCTCTTATAATCATTTATAATGGATTATAGTTCTTACAAAAAACCTTTAGAATCAATTATAATCGATTATAATCGATTATAATCTCCTATTTTGCCGAAACTGTATTCGAATTAGATTTTATGGGTTATTATTTGTGTGTCAACAAGAAAGTCTCTAAAAGAGAGATCTCTTGAACACGTTGTTTCATCTGAACACAAAGTTTTACCTCGAAACAAAAGTTTCATAGAGATCCTTTCATATTAGTGAAAGGTTTCACGCGGTAAATGAAAAAAAAATCTTCCGAATCAATCATGAAACTTAATCAATTTGCTCTTGCTTTGGTGGTTAAAAAGCTTGAAAAATGCATCATAAAACAACTCTTACAGGAAACAAATGAAAAAAAAAACCTTATACATTTCTATTGTTTGGAAAACTTTGAAAAACATTTTTCTCATTTTTCATAGGAATCAACGTCTACAAAATTTAAAATATAAGCAAATTAGATGCAAGTTCGAAGACAAAGTGGACAAACAAAAGGGATTATCATCAGTTATTATTATTTATTATAGATTTTTGTGCAAAATTAATGAATTAGAAATTTGAATCAAAATAAGTGTCTATAACCAATTATAATTGATTATAATGTATCGAAAAAGGGAGGTTTAATTGATCTTTTTCAATTGATTATAAGAGGTTAGATATAATTATAACTTCATCTTGAAAAGAGAGATTATAAACGATTTTTAATTGATTAAAATCGATTAATTCTCAATTGTAGTAAGATTGGTACTAACATAGTAATAAAATCGACTATTAACGCTTGAAACTGGGTGCGGGCAGGTTTCAAGATGCAAATTTATTCTTTAAAACCGTTTCTTTTTGTTTTCTCTAAAAAGCTCCTAGGTCAGACCGAATTCCGTATCTGACGTAGATCTGCCTCTCAACTGAATCGACTCAGTGATCAACACTGATCGACCTTGGTATAATATTAACAATGTATGATTACAGATAGCGATATGAATCTCGAGGTGAGCGTACAGCAAAGTCAACATACAATTACTGCACATTCTCGTCCGAAGATAACTAAGTTTTAAATAATATACTTTAAAATTTATTAAGTGAGTACGAATTTTAGTACTCAGTTTTGGCTCCTCTTTCTTCGAGGTTATCTTTCCTTTGCATCTTTCTAATTCTTTTCATGGCTTCCTGTATTTTCCTCGAAGTGCAGTGGTACACGCCACGGTGCGTTCCAGGTTCTTTAACTGTCCAAGGCCTCACTCCCGAATAGTTTCCTTCTAAAGATGTATTTTTTTTAACCCCAGTTGACTTTGTGATTTTTACCGACGGAAACTTTGAGTATCTATCTATAGCTACAAATAAGTAAATTTTCTTCCCCTTCTGATCTTCTAATGGTCCCGCATAATCTAGCGGTAGTTCTTGACCCGGCTGCGATAGCAGTGAACGTGCTTTTGAGTCATTTTTTGGTATGATTTATGTAGCATTCTTACCATAGCGGGTGCAACTCCTGCACTCTTCGGCCATGTTTACAATGTCCTTGTGCATATGTGGCCACCCCAGATACTTCGACACAACTAGCATTGCTTCCTGTCCGGGGTGGCCACGATGAATCCGCCTTAGTACTGCAAGACGCAGCTGCCCTGGAACAGCTAACTGACCGTCTACGATGATGCAATCGTCCACTACCGACATCGTGTGCCAGAGTGAGTTCGTATAAGGTCCCATCAATTCGAAACTGTGGCGGTCGTTCCGTTCAATGACGCGTCAAAATCTGTCCTTCCATGAGTCTTCTGTGGTTAGTTCTGCTAGTAGACTTCGGTCGAATAACTTCGACAGGTTAGGTTAAGCAGATTATTTTCTTCGTTCTTTTCTAGCGTTCGAGTCGTCTTCCTGCTACTATGCTGACTTCCTGGCTGTATGTCGGGCTGTCTGCTGTTAAGTCTACCTCAATGATTGTCGTTCCCTTCGCATCTTCTATGTCAGCGTGCGCGCAGATCATTTCCGTGGGCGCTTCTAGCTCTAGCATGTTTCCTGGGGTTGTTCTGTTAGTACACTCCGATCCAGCTAGATCCCAAAAAGAAATGAGTTTGGGCGGTTCTGCTTGTGTTGCTGTTGAAGTTGATGGTCCGGTTTCTGGGTTTTTTTTTGTTGTATATGCCCATATTCTGCCACTCGACCAGCGATACATCTGAGTCAGAGCTATACGACTCGTTTCCCCGATGTTTCTATTTGATTCATCCTCGTTCTCTGGAACCTGGTTTCCGTTACTTTTTCTAACAAGTGATCTCGTTTCCCTTCGCTGGTTTTTCGTTCGATTCTTTTCACTGTCTTTTTCGGTTTTTCTTTTTCGGGCTCATCCTTCATCCGTTCTTCTGTTTTGAAATTATTTAATTCGATATCGAACGACTGTTTATACTGAGAAATCTTGCTTAAATTGTTCTGTTCACAATTTGAGAGATGTGAGTTATGACAGTTTTCGTTCCGGTCGAGCCTTGTTTGGTTGTGAACAGATTGATTGCTATAGCAACTGTGGGATGACGTGTCTTTTGTACTATCCAGTATGTTTCTCATCTTAGAATGTTCTAGAATTTCTCCGTTCCGATAAAGCAGTGCTCTATGAAGTTCCTCAATCGACGTTACCATGAATTTTTTATCCAGTTTTGACTCAAGCCACGGTTCTCCAATTGGTTCTCTTGACAATTAATCTTCTGTTGCCAGATCTCTACCCGATATGTGCTTTACCTTAAATTGGCAAGGTAACAATCGATCTACCCACCTAGTGAGTCGAGATTGATACGTTTAATTTGATCTGTTTTCCCCTAATGCTTTTGTAAGAGCTTAATTATCTGTGACTTTTACGTATTCTTCCCCCAAACGATCGCGTTTAAACCGGTCTACTGACCATACTACTGCAAGCAGTTCCAGTTCATTGGTCGAATACTTCTTCTCTTGGGTATTCGGGTAATTTGATGCAAACGCTATGTACCCATTCACTTTGGCTATTCTCTGTTCCAAAATTGCTCCGAGGCCACTGTGGCTTGCATCGCATTTTACCCGGTATCTTTTACGGGACCAAAATAGTTAATTTATACAATCCGTGCTTTTGCTTTTTTAATTTCTTCGCAGATAATGGAGCTCTTTTCCCCCACTCGAATTTTTTCACCGGCAATCGAATTTTTTCCTTTTCTTCTCTTATCAGTGGTCTGAGCTGATCCGTTAAACTCGGTGCGTTTGGAAAAAAATTAGAGAGATGATTGATACTACCCATGAACGATCTCAACTGTTTAAGCGATTTCGGAGGTTGAAGATTAAGTATTGCCTCCGTTTTTGTAATTTTGAGGACTATTCCACTTGGTGTTAGTTTTTTTTCTAAGCATTTAACTTCTGTCTGAAAAAATTCTTATTTGGAGATCTTCAACGCTAGATTTTCATCATCTAGTTTTTTAAAACTTCTAGTACCAACTTCTCATGTTCTTTTTTGTCTCGTCTTGAAACGATCAAAAAATTGTCAAGAATGCAAAATGTGTTCTTAGCATGGTCTAAAGTCCGGTCGATTGCTTTTTTGAGTTCTGCAGGCATATATGCTAACCCATAAAACCCTGTAAGGAACCTGTATGTTCCTTTTGCTTGGCCACGCACAATGTTGGAATTGCACTGTAGTTTCCTTGTAGTTGCAGACCCAGAATGCATCTTGCTCGACGTTTTGAGATTAACAAAGATGCGTTTTTGACTTCGCAACCTGCTGAACGGATGTTGGCTTGCATTGCTCCAAATATCAAAATTGGTTGTATGTAATAGTCTACAAACTGTGCTGACAGACTCACCTCCTCGGTTGGAATAAATTTGGTCTCCGATGATCCATCTAATAGTTGTTTGGCTGTAGTCCAATTCAGGAACGACACCGGTCTCCCTGTGCCTATTGTCATATTTAAGATTTGATTGTTTACTCCAACCAACGCTTTCAGTGCTTTTATTTGATGCGATTGTGGGTTTCTCCGTATATCAATCTTCCAGACACTTTGAGTATTTTTAATTTGTTGCTGTGGCTTTTCGCTCAAGTTTTTGTTTTGGAATTATTAGTCTTTCACTGACCTCGGCTTTGTTTCGATGGCCATGATCTCGAACGCATGAATTAAAGCTCTGAATTAGGTTACACTGTTCACCTGGACTTGAATTTTCTTCTGTAACCTTGCTTACATAATGCGAACGGCACATTTGGCGAAATGGTTCTGTTTATTACAGTTTTTGCATGTCTTTCCCATTGCTATACAGTTTTTTAAATGTGTCTCGCCCAATGCTCTTCCACGTCTTGTGCATTTTCTCTGCTCTTTTCGGAATTTTGCATTCCTTTGCTCAATTGTTTCCTTCCTGAATTGATCTATATTCGGTCTTTTAGAGTTTTGACCCTTGTTACCAACTGACATTATGGGTTCTTTCTTTCTTTTAATCTGCGGCCCGGGAAATTCACCCATGTGTGTATTCCTCCTTTCTGATTTTTGCAACGCTTTTGTCGTTTGTTTACTTTGTTCAAACTTAATTGCACATTTGAGTACCTCATCTGGCGAAAACGTTTCAAACGTAAGAGTTTCCTGTAATGCAGTATGATTCTTTTTCGATATGAATAAATCTCGGACTAGTTTTCTTCCAGCGCGCCCAATTCATCCGTGGCTGCTTGTACAGTTGAGGCCGCATGAAAAGAATCTAACGTTTCTCCGTTTTCTTGCACTCTAGTGAATAAACTATATCGCTCATTGTTATGTTCTTTGTTTTTTCGAACGATATTTTAGCCAATCTCACCATCTCCCTGAGCTCAAGTTTTGATTTTTCCGTGTGCGGGTTTTTTTGAACAAACCTTTTTTTACCCTCGATATCCAATGCCAGAAATAGTCGAGACGTGATTCGTTTCTGTACTTCGTTGTAAAACACATTGTGACCGATTTTAGGACCGCGCTCCCTCCTTTCTTCATTTTCAGGAACAACTTTGTCCCTTAATAGTCTGTCTCTTGGTTCCCGGTCCGTTACTGCATGTGCTTCTTCGTTTGTTCCTGGAGTCTCTGGACGAGGAAGTGGTTCATCAATAACTGCTTTTGGATCTTTTAATAAGATCTCAGGATTCACGTTTTCCTTTACTGTCACCGCTAACAAAAATTGGTCAAACCAAAGTTCAACGGTGGATCCGAACTTGCTGATGTCCAAAAAAAAACAGGATTGCCCATGTCCGTTTGGTTGTCCTGTGCCATGAATCCTGCTGGCTGCGCCATGTGGTAAGGGATAGAATGCTGTAATACTGATTTGAAAACAATTCAGGTTTCAAGATGTAAATTTAATCTCTGAAACCGTTTCTTTTTTCTCTCTAAAAGGCTTTTAGATCAGACCGAATTCCGTATCTGACGTACGGAGATCTGCTTCTCCTCTGAATCGACTCAGTGATCAACGCTGATCGACCTTGGTATAATAATAACAATATATGATTACAGATAGCGATATGAATCTCAAGGTTAGCATACAATTACTACACATGCAGTGTGTGCTGTACCACTATCTCCCCACATTCCAGACTGTGTTATTTTATTGAGCGAAGCTCTTTTTTGCGCCTCAAGTCAGTTTTTTTTTGCGTCTAGAACTCTCACGTGGTACCACTATGGCATCCAAATTTGGTCTAGTTGTGGTAGACCTGAAACTAGAGGTCAAATGAGAGCTGGTCCTCACACACATTCAATGCCATGGCATGGGATCGAATACACGATCTGACGATTTTCAACGTGAATGCCCTACCACTATGCTAAGTGCCCTATAATAGGGTGTTTGAGGAGAGCTCGAAAACTCAATTTGGTCGTGGAAGTTTTTAATTCCGCGCCTCGAGAAAATTATAGACCCGCCTCTGCTCCTAGGACAGATTTCGTCTTTCTTAAGAGTTCACAGATTCAGTCAAATTTTCATGTACCGGCAGGTTTCATTCCATTAAATAAATTAATTGCTGATTTATTACTTTTCTGCAGGTCAAGGACAACCGGATCAAAGACTTGGAGGAACAGCTGGAAGAGCTTCAGACTGAGTTGAATGGGGCCAAGGAGGAGTACGAACAAGAGGTGGACGACATCACCACCAAACACGGAGAGGAGGTAAAGGTCTTAATCATGTGCATCAAAAGCGTTGTAAGTTGACTCCAACTTGTTCTGCTTTGACATGAAAAGTGAGTTTGTTTATAGGTACCAGACATCAAATTTGGGCTTACAAAAAATAAATTGAAAGCATTGCATTTTTCATCGTTCGTAAAAAATTGATTTATATTAATGTAAAAGGGCGGTTTTTTAGTAGGGCGGAAAGTTCTCAGAGGATCAGATGTTGTATCATATAAAGCCTTTTTGACTGCGATTTCGTGCATAAGACTTTAAATGAAATTTTAAACTACAACTTTCTTTGCGATGAGAGAAAGTTGGTGTTGTTCCATTCATTAAAACGTTATACTCGAAGAACACCAGCTTCTACGGTAACTGAAGGCTATCCAGTCTGTTTAAAATGCCGTTCGATTCAAATGGATGGCAATTTATGAGTTCAAATCTTGTGGCGTAGATGTTTTTACAAAACTAAAAAAGTAGATCAGTCCAAACTGGTTGTTGCTAAATATAAAGAATACCATCGGGTGTTAAATTTTCAGCTGTGGATGGGTCAGATTCCAAGTCCGTCTTTAACTACATGCATTTTTTGTAATGTTTCTCATGCTTCTTAGATTAATTTCAACTTTTTTGTGCTGTCTAGGTGGGTGTGAGGGACAAGCAGATATGGGAGCAGAAGGAAGAGATGCAGAGACTACTGGACAGTGTGCAGAGGGTGAAGCAGGAGAACTCCACACTCACTCTGGAGATCAGTGACCTCAAAAAACAGTTCAGGTACGATCAGTCTATTTATATGAGAGTTAAGCTTAATACTGTTTATGCTTATGAGGAAAATGAACAGCATACAAGATTGCTCATCTGTCTATGGAGAACGGCTGTTGTGCTCAAAATTGAATCTAGAATTTTTGCAAGAGGTGTTTTTCAATTTTTTATCCAAAATTTCTAATAAGTCTCATTTAGTGTTCCTGATTTAACAAGCAAAACAATTGGTTTTGTGGGATAAAAATGGTACTTCAACCTGAAGCGCATTGAGCACGGATAATAGTAGTCCTTCTATCATCTTTTAGTTGCGGGATGGGGTCTGAATTCTTTATATTTGTATATCTCGACCTGTTACTAAAGCTGCAATTAATCAAAGAATATAATTTTAACCCTATAACGAATCTGAGACAAATTTAATGTTTTCACAAATCTTCGTAAGACTCTCACTGGATGATGAAATTAAAACTTTTTTTCAGTCAGCTCAAAGCGGAAAGAGATAAAGCCCTTGCAATGAAGCAAAACGAAATGAAAAATTCCGAAGGTGAGCTGAAGACCAAATTCAACGAAGCCCAAAAACAATACCAAGAAAAACTAAACAAAGCTCAAAGACAGTTAAAGTCTTACGAATTCGATCTCCAGAAAGCCAAAACCGAATCAAACGAACTGCGCGCTAGCAATAAATCACTGTCGAAAGAAATCTCTAATCTTAAGATTAAGAAACAAGTTGCAAATAAAGAAATACAAACCATTGAGGTTGAACAAGAAAACTCAGTTGCGATTTCTACCCAAAAAGAACTTTCATCAGGGCCGATTAAATCTGAAATTGTCGAGACAAAAGCCGTGGATCCTGAGTTGGTAGCACGGCTCGAAAAAACGGCAGAGGATTTGGAAACAACTCAAAAAGAAGTGAACAAATTGCAAAATTTGATTGAGTCGCTCAGAGGTGAAAACGAGTTTTTAGTAAACGAAAACATGGGTTTTATTGAGCGAATGAAACAAAAAAGCGACGAGGTGAAGGAATTGCTGGAAAACAAAACAAAAGAAAGTGACCGAATGATTGACCTTGAGCGCGAAAACAACACTTTTCCTGCAAAATTGCAAGACATGGAGATGAAATACTCTCGAATGTGTGAAACGGCCGAGGAAATGTCGAATCGCCTGACTACTTTGCAGAAAGAGTTGAACAACCGTGAAGCGATTATTTTTCAGCTGGAAGACGAAATTCGCCGTCAAAACTATACAAATAACACCAAAGACATGTATTTAAGCACGCTAGAAAGCACAGCCAACCAAGTCAAAGTCGAACTGATAAATTTAGCTAAGAGGATCGCAAATATTGCTCGAGTCGTTCAGGATATCAACACTCGGCGAAGTGAAAACACGACTCAGATCATAAAAATGGAAAAAGAAAACATTATGTTACGCAATGAATTGCACATTCGAACACAACCAACACCTGTTAGCTACAGACCGGCAAATCCATTGTGTGATTCACAAAATCTAAGCAAATCTTCGCCAAACTTGGCCGGAAGTTTCCCGGAAAGATCAATCGTAAATCCTCGGGAATCAAAAAGAGTGACTGATTTCCAAGCGTGGTCGAGGTCTGTAGCAGACCGATTGCGATCGACAGGGTCAAGCGATTCTCTGTTTCACCCGAAAGAATACCCGAACTATAATTACAACTCACGGTTCCTCTACTGATTATGTTTGAAATTACTATTGACAACACTGAATGATGAAATATTAGTTCTAAGCAAAAAAATCTTTGAAAATTAGGTTTGAGTCCAGCCACCTCGATGGTTTTTTATTTACGGAGTCGGAAACAACTATATTCTTTGGTTTTTTTGAGCGTTTTACGCGCCAAAAAGAAAAATTACAAGTATTGGAGTGTTCGGTATCGAAAAACAGCTTTTCAGCCGATTTTTGAATTTAACAAGCTACTAGCTTGGATTTTCTCTGTTTCAAGCACAACTCTTGTAAGGCTCAACAATGAAGCCCGATAAGAGTGAAAACAAAAATGAGACCATTTGATTTTTTGCAGTGATAATTATTTTCCGAAGTTTCACCCGCACTGAAATACCCTGGATCACCAGCGGATTTAAAGCGAGGGTGGGGGGGGGGGGTCTGGGACGGACACTTCCTTTTTCTCCTCAGGAATTCGACCCCCTGCCGACCCAAAGGGTCCCCCTTGTACTATTTTGACATATCCATTTTTCCCTGGATAAAAATCAATTATATCTGAATAAAAAACTGGGAGTAATGGATTAATTATAATTGATTGTATTCTTAAACAAAACAAACTTAACAAAAACTTATACTGATTTAATTTTTCCACTCTAAGGATTTTAGCATCATTTTAAAAAAGAATATGACATCAATAATTCAAAATTAATACATAATTCAATTATTTACACGCACACGTTGCATTAGTTTGTTAATTAGGGTTCGCTTTTGGCTGAGAAAGTTATTACCGTTTTTTTTTTGAAGTTTCGGTTCACAAAATATTTCCTAGTAAAATTTTGCTCTTTACCTTCTTCGGCTAACAGCTCCCCATTGTTACCACTTCGATTAATTTACCCCCAATGTGGCGATTTTCTAAATTTGAATAAGTTTACAATTTGAGCAGGTTTTATGATTAGAACTTTTGCGACAATTCCCAAAATTTCTGTATTTAAGGAAAATGGAACCAGTTCTAAACTAGAATTTATAATTGGTTAAGAATATAATTCTCTAATTCTATAAAATATTCTTAACTAACTAATCATATTCCATACCTACAATTTACACTTATTTGTAAGTGCTGAAACTACTTGTAGTTCCAGCACCTGAGCAATTTGAATTAAACTTAGAATAAGGTTGTTCTCCTTCTGGAAACTAAATCACATAAACCAGTATGCACTAGATCTTTTGAGACTAGAAGATATAAGAGGAAGATTAAGATGGGTATTAGACTAAGAAGTTGCACGAATCTATCCGGCCTAAATTAAAATAGCGTGACAAGCAGACAGTTTACCTTATCGGAAATTACTCTATGAGTAGGGTCATAAGTACATAACTCATCTGGTGGGATCAAAAGTCCCGAACAAGACCTTAACTAACTTAGATTTAGAAAAACTAGATTTTAGAATTAGACAATTTCAAAATTGCAAAAGTGTTACATGAAATAGACGATTTATTACAAATGACTCTCTGATTCAATAGATTACCGCCAATTTTTCAAACAATACGAGAAATACCAGGTTTTGCGCGAAGACCAAGGACGGATCTACAATTAGGAAGAAATCTACCGATTCATTTCATGATAGTACGACGGAAACCGGAACAAACCTATCTATTTAGAATCCTTTCCGCAGTAATTTTAGATTTTCTTTTATCGACATAACATTTGAAGAAAACTTTCAGTAGCCTTAAGGGTGCTAAACCTACTATTTATACAAAAACGACTGATAAAAATAACACAAGTAGTTCCCTCCAAAAAACCTGCAGTAAATCAAAACATTTTGAATAAAATTTTTTTATCAAATGACAATAAAAAATTAAATAAAACAAAAAATTGTTGTTAGTTTTAATAATCTGTGACATCATTTCTTCGTCCCACCTTAATCGCCTAAAAAACAACAGCAAATTACGCAAAGCTAACATCATCTAAAATTTAATATTAAGCCTTTAAATTTAAAACTTTTATAATAAATCTTATCAAGGCTTATTCATGTTGTTTCCTAAGTTATCTTAACTTAAGTAACAGATCATCAAGGCTTTCCTTGGATCTTTAAAACAAAAAAAAATTAATTTCTGATCATCAAGGCTTTTTTTGGATCAAACGGAACAATTTTGTTCTCCCACTCCCACATTTTTAAAGTAACTAACGACCTCAAACGTCAATTCAATACCCAACCTTTTTCAACGAACCAGGACTAAAAGAAATTTTTGAAGGAACTAACCATTTTATTTAAGATAAATAGTGAAGAACTTTGGTTACTGATCCTTCACTTGAGCCCTTCCTCTTAGAAGACCCAGGCTAAAACACTGAAACTTAGTCAGTTATAAAATAGTATCTAACAATCTTCTAATTATTTCTGAACCTTGTGGACTGATTTACTATTCTCAAACCTTCGATCACAAATCACAACCCCCAAGTAAGATTAGGTAACTCTACCTTAAATTAGAACTTAGTCACGCGAAAGTAAAAAATCGTTCTCACGAATATACTACTCTTTCTCCAACCCATCAAACCACGACAATCTAAGCCGCAAGATAAGATATCCTTTCAGAACGCATAAGGACTAACAGTTATAGAAATTAGAAACCTCTAATCCAAATAATGCATCCATCATCCTAAACCTTATGTCAAGAGATAATCTAGGTAACAAACAAACAATTGTATTAATTAATTGTTTACTCAAAAACTAAAGATACGACCTTGTGAACACACCACACAGTTATCAGAAAACAATTTTTTCAAAACAAAGAAACGCAGTCTCAGAATCAGACACAAACACAAAACAGGAACTTCAAGATGTAAAAGATTCCATAAACAAAAATAACCCCATTGACGACTAAATATATTTTTCCGACTCAGAAGTCACAACACCATCATCAATAAAACGAAAACGCAAAATAAAAAAATCATATATTAACAAACCAAAACGCCTAAATAAATTGGAATCAACCAATAAGACGTTTTGAATGTTACACACTAACAGTTTTACTATATAAAACATGATCGAATACAACAACAATTTCGATAATAATTCAATTTTTCTAGTTTTCATAAAACCGCAAAATGATCCCTCCCGAGGACAAGTACAATTTTGTCATAAATTAATTGTAAATTTATTCAAAAAAGGAATTAGCCCATTTAACAAGAATTTCCTGAAGTACCAAACGACAAATCTTTGATCATTGCCTAAAACATATATGTAATATCACATCACATTATGGTATATTCACAATCGAAATTGCATCACCAAAACGAAATCACAAAAAACAACAAATACTAACAGACGATATAGGTACAGAATTCTCAAAAGTTTTTACAGACCATATAAAAAACATAGAACACCAAAAATCACAAAGAGCGAATTCAATATTCCCAAACTATCTATTTTCAATTATTTATAGCTATCTATCCATACTAGAATTAAAAGAAACCGAAGGTGACTCACCAATTCAAACATCCGGACATGCAGTTGTACGACAAGAAATAACTTTTTTCTCAAAATTTTTCAATACAATCCGTAAAAATCTCAGTAATAACGATATATCACAAAATGTTAACCCGAGCTAAAAAAGATACTAGCATGTTTTATTAATGATTATGTTGTCTATAATCTTGATCTTATATCAATAGCAAGAAAAAGTGTTTCAACCACAAAATTCAGACGATGAAACTATATTGGCAGATGAAGCTTTTCATGTTTGGGACCCTGAATGGTCTCATCCATCATTTATTAAAACACCAACTGACATCTCAAGTCAAGCAATTACCACAGTTTCCATCAATAGAGATTATGATAGAATAACTCCAATTACTAGTGATGCAACACCTCTAAGTTATAATTCAAAGTTCACTGAAATAACTTCTCAGATCATAACTATAATTTTTTCCGAAAATCCAAAACAACAAAACCCCCAATATGAATAGTCAAAATTAAAAGAAAGCAATCACAAAAACAAAATGTACCACAACAAGCTTCTCAATCAGTATTTTTTTTGATCAACCACAAGCTACACTAGACCATTGCAAAATTTATTCATTTTTTCAACAAAATTAAAACATAACAAACAAAAATCATATTAGGAATCAACCACATTACTCAGAAGACGAAGAATAATATTATCAAAATCAACAAATGATTTCAAAAAAATTCAGCATCACCATAACTGGAACATTGATCAACCAGATCCTTTCTATCAACTAGATCTTTTCGAACCATATACGCGAAATGAACAAAGGCAAACAAGACAACACCCAACGTCGTGCAGTAATAGCTTTCAACCACAAAACCCAATAAATACACAAAATTACCAACCAACTCAAATGCAAAATGAAATCCCACTACCATTTTACCTACAACCACACGAAATAACAAAGACCCAGCTTTTCAAAGTTTTCAAAATTACAAAGTTTTCTCAAATACCAAATGCCCCAGAATCACAAAAAAATGACAATGGATCTATACCTTATGGGTGGATCCTCAATATTTTCAAATAAACCACTATTGGTATTCAAAGGAACAGATCCCGAATACTCAGTCGAAGACTATTTAAATGCAGTTACATTAAATTTGATTTTAAATATAGGACCTGAACCAATAAATACACCACTTCATCAAAATTGGATACAGAGAGGCACAGCTCTAATCCAAACCACACTTGATGGCGCAGCCCAAAAATGGTTTTCAGTTTTACCTATAGATATGAAGTCAGATTGGAAAAGATTCACAAAAAATTTTTCGAAAATGTTCGACTCAGAAAGAGACAAACAACACACAAAGAGTCTTTTCCAATGAAATTCGCAGAATCCCAAATGAAACAATTAAACATTTTGCAAAAAGAATTGAAACACTAGTATGAAAAGCAATTTGTCTTAATATGTATGACTATAAAAACACAACTCTTGCCGTAGATACGGACACAGCATTCCTGAATGTAGACAAAAACAGCAATATAATCAGAACAAAGCACAAAAACATAGAGACCTAAATAAATCTTTTTACCAATACATTAAAAAGACTAAAATCTACCAAACAAAAACAGTCACAGTAAAAATAGT